AACTAGTAATATAGGGTTGGGTAGAGTAAGGGAAAGCTAAGCATGTTAATGCTTACTAAGCCAACTCTTAAAACGAAAGGGACTACGTTCCAAATGCATGTCCCACGACGCGTTCCACCAGTCATCTGTGATTTTTTATGTACTGCTTTGATGTTCTGTGAAAATCAACGTTGGACCAAGTCTCCATGGTTTAGTTTAAATCGAAGAAGATCTCGATGAAATGTCAATAAAAATGAGAGAAAAATTTAGTGAAAAAAAACGGTAAGTACCTAAGCCCAACTTTTGGGTAATACGTAAATGGATTGCAAATATTATTAAAATTAACAGAACTAATAAGTTATCACAGAGATAAAAAAATAGCAAATCAACAAGCAAAAATCAACGAAGTAACGATTTTAATATTTATCGGAGAAGATCTCTAAGGCTGGAAGCTTAGGTTGTTGATGCTGTTGGAATACCAAGACTTTATTAGAGAAGCAACAGATAAAGAAGAAGTGTTGAACAAAGAATAAGTATAGTATATAAGTAAGTGTGAAACAGCATATCACATGATACAATGTTTTAAAAAATGTCTGTAACCAAGTCTATTACATAATGAATACTTATATAAAGTAACATAAAAGAAATAAAACTAAAAATAATGACCCAGTTAAAAAATTCCTTATAGATTTGAAAGAAGCAATTAAAAAATATAAATAAGGAGATAAAGCCTTAGAAAAAGCTGAATTGTTTTTGCGTGTACATGTGTATGAATTATATTGCACCCATGAATGCACACACACTTTTTTCCATACCAAGTAAGTTTAACATACTGTTAAAATTTATACTTGATGCCTCTATTATAGAGCATGCAGTGCATTTAAAGGACGAAAAAGGTAATAGTAGAAAGAAAGGAAGAGAATCGTTTTGTTCTCGATTGCTAGCTGGAACTCATATGTGTGGATTGCTAACAATCTAGCCACAGATGAACACAAATAACACTGGCACTAATACGTATTATTATAACAATGGAAAGGTTGAGTATTATTTAAGAATAATTTTTTTTTTTCTTAAATTTATGTGTACACGTAATTGTAATATTATATTTAAATACATGTAATAAATTATGAATGTTGTATTGTTACATCATAGTAGATACGCAAACAAAGATGCATGAGCCATGGAATTTATTCTTAATAATGAACTGAAACAACTTGATAATGATTAAATAGACATTTTAAATCTGTTACTAATTAATATCATAACATCAATAAGCATTAGTTTTTAATTTCAATAATATCTTTAATTTTCTATCTATTTGTTTTTTTAGGGGTGCAAAAAATAAATGAGAGATATTATCTCTTAAATTTAGTGTATAGTGATGTATTGAGTAAAAATTATTGATACTCAGAATTAATGTGTAGGGGGAGGTGAAAAAGTTATGAGGTTCGTAGGGAAACGAAAAAAAATTGTGTGGGGGATGTATACGGACTCTGAAGGTTTGAGGAAAAAAAATGTCATATCAACGCTGAAAACGGTTGACTTTTGCCTTATACGTGGGAGGGGGGCTTTCATAGAACTGTGGGTTGAAGGCTGTGAAAGAATTGTTGAGTGCTGTGGGAGGCTTATGCAAAATGCTTTACACACGTAACTACATAATTAAGGGGAATATATCGATGGCTCTTACGAAAAACAACGGAACTATGATTTTTCTATTTAAAATAACATTGGAATTTCTGAGTTCCGTTGTTTTTTGTAAGAGCCGTCGTTATATGAATGTAATTTTTTAACACTACCAAACAGGCTATTGATAGATTTTATGTATGTTGATTAAATAACAAATTACTTATTATTTACGTTAATACATTAATGTACAACAGAATTAGGATAACTACTATTATAACAACTAACAGTGTAACAACTATTATAAAATATTATTTATTTATTAAATGTATTTATATTACATAGCTCCATTATTACACAAAGGACGTTCCATAACTATTAAATAATATTCAAACTGGATGTATTACCAAATTAAAAAAAGGTTTGTAAAATAACTTATAAATCTTAGCTACATCATAACCACAAACTGATAGAACTTCACGTTTCCAAGTATAATATAGGAAAAGAATTCATAAGTTTAATAGTTCTTATGGACATTAATCTCTATACGCACATACACATGTATATCGCAGCTTACTACATTTTTTTTTCAATTTACGTTAACACTGAAAATAAGAATTAACGCAAAAGTATAATCAGGCGTTTAAAAAATTTAAACTTAATGCAACAGTTTTTTAAAAGTTCCGTGAAACAACAATTAGTTATTTTCTTATTTTACAGTTAAAATTGATTTTTCCTTGAAAGCCAACTTGGATAATTTTAGTACTAGATAATCAATTAGAAATGATAGACTTTTTTTCTACGAATGTAATATTTAATTACAACTGCTTGAGATTTTAAAAGCATTCATATGAATAAAAGAGAGTATATCTATTTATTTATAATTTGTATCTCGAAAATCTGTCTATCTATTGCCAATTTTCTCGGAGTATACGTGCTATTAAGGAATTATTAATAAAAACGAGTTTTTCTTAATAATACATGAAAACTAAACTTCACAACAGTACTTTAAAATATAAATGACAACACCATCAGTCAAATGTTATAAATGCGTTTTTTTAAACTTTTGACCGTTTAGTGCGCCCTCAGTGTGAAAAATACAGTTCACACCTTATGTGCATTCATTCAGAGCAATCGCAAAAAGTCTTTTAGGCCTGATACTTGCCCTGGTGACATGGGCCACCAGATACGAGAACTACAATTTCCTACCTTTGGCGTTTTAAAGGGTTGGATGTGCCCTCATTAGAAAAAATAGGGTTAACACATAGTGTGCACATAATCGGGCAATCACAAGGAGTCCCTCGGGCCTGGTGCTTGTTCTGACGATATAAGCTTCCAGGTACGAAAAATTTCATCAATTACATGTATACCAAGATTCTGTACGACAATAAATTTGGTTGGTTAATAAGAAATCATTCATTCTGAAAAATTTAGGACTAAAATTTTGTAAAAAATATAAGTATCATGAAAAATAAAAAGTTTTTCATGTCATAAGATATTATAGAATGATAAAACAAATGAAAATATAATAAATTCCAATTCGTTGTCATAAATTTTGTAATTTACTACTAAAAATCAGCAAGGAAAGTCAATGTATTATGTAATAATTTCTTCCCAAACAGTTTTTTTTATTTCTGTTTTTTTTTTTATTTCTACTTGAATAAATAAATAATCTTTATTTTTACATCCTAATGAAGCCTTGTATAACTATCTTCAAGACAGTACAGGTTTCCTTAAAAGTAAGGCTACACTATCAAAAGTTTGACCTTGAGATGTGTCTACTGCCATAAGAAATGCCTTAACGGTTGGAAATTACATACGATACAAAATAGAAGGTAAAATTCATGTGTTTCCTTTTGTTTAAAAATGTTTTTGGAATAAAGAATGAATTGTAATGGCCTAGTTACAGGAAAGTTTATGCATAGAGTGTGCAGAAAGGCAAATATAAATTTAACAAAAGTCTTATGCAGACGAAAGAAAGTTGCAGAAATTCCTTATACATGGGCAGTACTAAAATTAATATGTAAGACTACCCTTGATATGTAAGAAAAACTTCTGTAAAAAAATTTCAAAGTTTAAAGTGCTGTTACTACCACCTGATAATTGTAGCTTGCTTTTGCTTATGTGAATACACTCTCAGCCTGTATTAAAAATTATGAAAACAATGATCTTTCTTTTGTCTACCAATTTATATTAGTAAGACACAGCTTCAAGAGTAAGGAGCGTCACCAGTACTTTTAATAAAATATACTCACCACTAGATTTATTTTTAACTACCGAAATTGAAACAACAAGTTAGACTTGACGATAAAAAGTTAAACGAAGTACAAATGAAACTTTTTTAATGAATTTATATTTCAAAACATTAAAACTAATTAACGCAGTCTTAGGTGAGTAATGATTCATCAACAAATATGTAACGTTNTTTAATAATAATAGAGATATAGACTTGTAAAGTGTCACTTGGCACCAAGTATTTTATCTTGCAATAACTGAATAAATAAGTAAAAGCAGGTTTTGTGTCTTGCATTTTTAAAAAGAGCAGTTTTTTATAATGCACTTAAGATGAATCGGTTTCTTAGATTTCCAAATTTTTGCAAGCTGGAGTATCGTTATTCAACCATTTATGTGTACAGAAAAAATGGTTGCTACAAAAATTATAAATGCTAGCTTAGTAGCTATATTATTGATTGTAAGTAGTAGTCATGACAGAGAAACAAAGAAAAACGGCCACTAGAAATAAGATGGCTGGTATTTTTGCACTGTTAAAAAATCTGGAAATGAAGAAATATATCGAAGAATATTTTACATTGTATTAAATAGTTATATAATCTTTGTTTTACTAAGACAAAAAAAATGTGTACGCTTAATTCAATGTCATCAAATCGTTAATTGGTTTTGTAATTTTTTTTTACTACTAAACAAAAATTTTTAAAGGGCATGCCCTTTTTAAATTTTTTTTTCTTTCTCACATGTAAATATTAATGTGTAGGAGCATTCAATCTAACTCATGAGGTTAACGTAACATGTTCACATTATGTTAAAACATAAAAACCCTTGTGAGAATCATTAGTACAAATATTATAATTTTTGGACTTTTAATAAGACATAAACAATTTAAAATTAGTGTGGAAAATACACAATTTTGATTAAAGATTGTCAATTTTCTATAAACTAGTTAAAAAATTATTGTATATCTCTTCAGTATAGCTTTAAAAATCATCTTATGTTAGTTTTCATGCTAATTATAAAAAAATTTTTTGTTTCATGTTGATTTTGCAGATTCATAAATGATTATCGAAAAAATTTCAAATATAGATGGCGTATACAAACTTTATTTTTTTACAAAAATCATTAGTAATTGTAGTTAAAAAATTGTCCTTACTTTTTCTTTCTAGATGCTCTGTTGATCCGTACCTTTTCGAGAACTTTGAGACGATAAACGGACACTTTTTATCTGCCAAATTTCGAGCCTTTAAGTTTCCGGAAAGCAGCTATGTACAATTTCATGGTACTGTCAGTGTTTGTGTGGGTAAATGTCGTGGGGTAAGTTTTTTAAAAACTTTTTCTTTTATTTTTCCGAATAATCACGCATGTTTATGTATACCTAAGCCTGCACACATACGCAGACCTACGTTAAACCACAATACATAGTATTTTTACTGGGTGTCAGCATTTGTTGCATGCCAATGTTGCTACCAAAAAACTGATTTTGATGTACCAGACTGCAACGTCAGTTATGGCTCCACTTCTATGTTCAGTAATAATTGTAAATAGGTAGCTTTATTCTGAGCAGCAGAAAAAGATACATTATTTAGCATGATTTCTTTTGATGTTGCGCAAGTTATGGTGATCTTTGTTTCAATGTTATCTTAAATGGTAATAAAAAATCGTTCGCCTACAATTTTTAACAGTGTGTCCATTTTCCGAAGTTCTTGCTGGAGAGAAAGAAATATATAAAAGAAGTATGATTCATCTTAAATTATTTACAAGACTTTTTACTGACGCTATGTCAACAAGAAATTAGTGTACTTACTTACTGCGAGCAACTACGTACCATAAGTGTGAGGATTTTTTAGGGTGTAATAGGAGTAGCATCAAAGACTGTATTGTTTAGAAACAAATCGTTGTCCCAAATTTCTTACAAGGTTAGCCAACTTCAACCTCAGCCTAATACATGATTTTGTGTAGATTAATTGATTGTTTCCTCTCTCTATATGATATTTAACACTATGTCTTTTCTCAATAGATTACAAAGAATAATGATTTTGCGTACGACAATACGTAGTAAACAAAAAATTGAGAAAGCGTTTCATTAATGAACTTTGTAGTGTTTGATAAATTGTATTTTGCTGATAACTTAGGGATTTTTTTTGTTATATAGAATCTTTAGCTTGTCATATTTGTTCTCAATTCTTGAATAATCCTTAAAGTGCTCACAGAAAAGGTGCGTTCAGATAAAATTTAAAAAACCTTTGAATGTAAACATACGTAGGTATAAGTGGGCTATTTTTTACAATCAGTACTGTATTAACTTACTATGTATTTGCTATAGTAAACGAAAATTAAGTACATTTTAAGAACTCTAGGTTACCCTCCTAGATTCTTCCTAGGAAACTAGTAGTGAAGAGAGACTCCTAGGTAACTTGGAGGTAGGGTTATTTGTGCCAATATCAATACAAGATTAGATAGTGGCTGATGGTGGGGTAATTTTCAGCTTTCACGTAAAGGATGGTGAAAAAAAAGGCTTCTGCTGTTATACAATCAGGTAATGGGTGGAGGTTGTCAGAGAAAAGCACTCATCCTGTTAGGTAATATCGTAAGGGAGCCTTGTGCTCCAATGTAGAAATGCTGGTATCTGATACCATGCACTAAATGTGGCTCTTTTTTTATTTTCTCTGACATTAAATTTGCCCCTATTCATATTCTAGGCCGATAAACCCAACGTGTAGCAAAAGAAAAATTAAGTATGAACGTGCATTTCTTATTGAGAGATGATTTTTTTTTTCTTATTCTTTAGGCGTCTCATATACCTGCATGTTTTTTTTTCCTTTTGAGAGTAAGCTTATAGAGTCGTTAGAGAAACAATAAATCAGTTAAAATTGGCTCACATATCTTAAATGCAGTACCTTGCCAATAGGTACAGTGAAAGTTTTTATGTGCAGGTGCATATGTCAGTCGTAGCTGATGACTTTTTTTTCTCATAGTTTAGGTGTATATTAAATCAGTATAGTATCTTTTTATCTCTAGAGCTGGCGTGTTAGGTATTAAAAATTGCTAGAGTAAACATGTATACTATAATGTTACTGGTTCACTTATTTGATCATGCAGTAGCTTGCTAATTAATAGTGTTGTCACTTCTTTTCTACGTGCATGTACTAGCTATACCAGATGAATTTTTGATTTTTATTTATGGCAAAGTCTTTTAAAAGCGTTTTAAGCAGCGTTTAATAAAAAGCAAGAAGATTAGGAAATAGATCTGCATAAGGAATAAGACAATTCAGATAATTAGTCTGTAGCATGAGTAGATTTCAGTAGAGTTCTTATCAATCGTATAAACACGGCTTTTACAACAAAAAGAAGACATTAGGATGTAGTGAAATTGAATTCAGTATTGGCAGCAGAATTCACAACAGTAAAAATGGTATTTAGACTTTTAAAGTAAAATGTTTAAATACTTATTCTAGCTGCATTATTTTTATGACAGACCTACATAAATAATTTCAAATTGATTTTCAGAAGATCGTTTTTATAGACGTAAAAGAATTTTGGGGGAAATATTATCGATGAATTCTACGCCTAATCCTAGATTTCATAGTAAATGTTAAAAAATAGTAGCTAAAACATACAACTGCTTACTGCTATCAAGAAAGTAAAGATTGTGTGAAGGTGCAGAATAAAAATGAGTAATGTTTACAATGGGTCACTTAGACAACACTTTATCCATAATATTAAAACTTACAACGTGTGTCAAATCATAATTATAATTACATAAATAATCACTACGTATACATCTACGAGCTATAGAGGTTGGTGAGAAGTCCTTGAACAAGAAATAAAAACAAGCTATACATCTTCAACCACTGTCTTCATTACTCAACAAATGATTAAAACTATAAAAATATTTAGGAAAGAGTGTTTAAGTAAATATTGTATATAAAAACTAATGTATTAACAGTATACAAGCTTAGATGCTATGCTAGTCCGTTTCTAACGCTGGTGCTAGCTTTACCTTGCTCGAGCATTTCTTCTATATATTACTCGAGCAATTTATGTCAATGAAGAATTATATATCTTACTATTACATGTAGTTCTTTTGGTGGATCTGTTTATATATCCTTCCACACCCTTTATGGACCCCCTACAGCCACCCAATGAAACAAGGGAAAATTCTCCATATGTTTCTATAAATTGAACCCAACAAAAAATATAAGCCCCCCACGCCCATACTACTCATGCCCCCCGTACGAATTTAGTGCAGCCCAATATCTCAAAAATCCCCCACAGAAACTTATAATATTTTTAGAAATTAGTATAATTATTCGGTTTTCTGACTTTCCTCACGATTCTAACACATTCCCCAAAAACAAGGATAAATTAACTAAAAATACCTCACGCCCTTCCCTGACACACCACTCCAAATTTTACGTGTCTCTTTTACAGCTTCTTTATAGTCCCCCACATAAACGAAAAATTTTTTTATAAGAAAATATGTAACAGAAAGGTATATACAGGATAACTAACCCCACCTACAGTGTCTTAACGTCCTCCTAGTATTTGATTTTTGTTCTGTTAATGGTTTCTGTCTGAATAACGATAATTTAATTATAAATAAATACTTTTCAAACATGGGTAGTTAATGAGGTGGAAAGTCTTTATGGTACATTAAATAATATTATGCTTAAATCTTTCTATGTTATATACAAATTCTGATAAATATCGTACGGCCTTTTCTAAAAACGTGGTATTCTACTGTTTTTTGTGTTTTTTGATGCCCACCATTAAACAAGAAAAAAAAATACAATTTTTCGTTAAGTTGAGTTTTTGTAAGTTGGAAAAAACTCTTATCTATTTTACTCTAACTATATTTTTATTTTTGGCGTTACCTGACGACTTTTAAAATTTTTAGGTCTTATATAAACATTTCTGACACCACTCATTGGTTTAACAGACCTGCGTGCTGACATTTTTGTTGTTGTAATTATTGATTCTTCTTATAAAAGTGTATACGTTTTTTCATTTAATACATATAAGTATGTGACATGACGAACATATATGTTTAATGATTTAAAATTAATATCATAATGTAATAATAATAACCTTGAAAATAATGGCTTATAAATTTTGCTTAGAAGCTTTAAAATGGTCGTTTGAAGCAAAATACTAAAACATGTGGCACTAACGTTTTTCTACTTATTATACCTGTATATTTACTATACGTGTACGTATGTAGATCAAATTAATATAAGTACATGTTTGCCTATTTTCATTGCTATTTTCAGTAGATGGTCTTATTTCTCTCATTATTTTCAGTAAAATTTTTGATAAGGTTACTTTTTCTCGCAAAGTTGTAAAAAAAAAAAAAAAAAGG